AGGGGACTGAAATGCAAAAGTAGGAATTCAAGAGATACCTGGAGTAACAGGCAAATTTGGCCTTGGAGTACAAAACGAAGCAGATCAAAGGCTAACAGAGTTTTGCCAAGAGAACACACTGGTCAAAGCAAACACCATCTTCCAACAACACAAGAGAAGACTCTGCACATGGACATCACCAGATGGTCAATACTGAAATCAGATTGATTATATTATTTGCAGCCAAACATGGAAAACCTCTATACAGTCAGCAAACACAAGACCTAGAGGTGACTGTGGCTCAAATCGTGAACTCCTTATTGCCAAATTCAGACTTAATTTAAAGAAAGTAGGGAAAACCATTAGACCATTCAGGTATGCCCTAAATCAAATCCCTTACGATTATACAATGGAAGTGACAAATAGACTCAAGGGATTAGGTCTGATAAACAGAGTGCCTGAGGAACTATGGATGGAGGTTTGTGACATTGTACAGGAGGCAGGGATCAAGACCATCCCCAAGAAAAAGAAATGCAAAAAGGCAAAATGGTTGTTCAAGGAGGCCTTACAAATAGCTGAGGAACAACAAGACACCAAAGGCAAAGGAGAAAAGGAAAGATATTCCCATCTGAATGTAGAGTTTCAAAGAATAGCAAGGAGAGATAAGAAAGCCTTCCTCAGCGATCAATGCAAAGAAACAGAGTAAAACAATAAAATGGGAAAGACTAGAGATCTCTTCAAGAAAATAAGAGATACCAAGGGAACATTTCATGCAAGATGAGCACAATAAAGGACAGAAATGGTATGGACCTAACAGAAGCAGAAGATATTAACACGAGGTGGCAAGAATACACAGAAGAACTGTACAAAAAAGATCTTCATGACTCAGATAACCACAATGGTGTGATCACTCACCTAGGGCCAGACATCCTGGAATGCAAAGACAAGAGGGACTTAGAAAGCATCACTACGAACAAAGCTAGTGGGGGTGATGGAATTCCAGTTGAGTTATTTCAAATCCTAAAAGATGATGCTGTGAAAGTGCTGCACTCAATATGCTAGCAAATCTGGAAAACTCAGCAGTGGCCACAGAACTGGAAAAGGTCAGGTTTCATTCCAATCCCAAAGAAAGGCAATACAAAAGAATGTTCAAACTACTGCACAACTGCACTCATCTCACACACTAGCAAAATAATGCTCAAAATTCTCCAAGCCAGGCCTCAACAGTATGTGAACTGTGAACTTACAGATGTTCAAGCTATTTTTAGAAAAGGCAGGGGAATCAGGGATCAAATTGCCAACATCTGTTGGCTCATTGAAAAAGCAACAGAGTTCCAGAAAAACATCTACTTCTGCTTTATTGACTATGCCAAAGCCTTTGACTGTGTGGATCACAACAAACTGGAAAATTCTGAAAGAGATGGGAATACCAGACCACCTGATCTGCCTCCTGAGAAATCTGTATGCAGGTCAAGAAGCAACAGTTAGAACTGGTCATGAAACAACAGACTGGTTCCAAATCAGAAAAGGAGTACATCAAGACTATATATTGTCACCCTGCTTATTTAACTTACATGCAGAGTACATCATAAGAAATGCTGGTGTGGATGAAGCACAAGCTGGAATCAAGATTATCAATAATCTTGAAATATCAGGAGAAATATCAATAACCTCAGATTTGCAGATGACACCACCCTTATGTCAGAAAGCAAAAAAGAACTAAAGAATCTTGACAAAAGTGAAAGAGGAGAGCAAAAAAATTGGCTTAAAACTCAACTTTCAGAAAGCTAAGATCATGGCATCTGGTCCCATCACTTCATGGCAAATAGATGGGGAACAATGGAAACAGTGACAGACTTTATTTTTTTTAGCTCCGATATCACTGCAGATGATGACTGCAGCCATGAAATTAAAAGACATTTGCTCCTTGGAAGAAAGTTATGACCAACCTAGACATTATATTATAAAGGAGAGACATTACTTTGCCGAAAAAGGTCCATCTAGTCAAAGCTATGGTTTTTCCAGTAGTTATGTATGGATGTGAGAGTTGGACCATAAAGCTGAGGGCTGGGGAATTGATGCTTTTGAACTGTGGTGTTGGAGAAGACTCTTGAGAGTATCTTGGACAGCAAGGAGATCCAGCCAGTCCATCCTAAGGGAGATCAGTCCTCAATATTCACTGGAAGGACTGATGGTGAAGTTGAAACTCCAATACTTTGGCCATCTGATGCGAAGAACTGACTCATTGGAAAAGCCCCTGATGCTGGGAAAGATTGAGGGCAGGAGGAGAAGGGGACGACAGAGGATGAGATGGTTGGATGGCATCACTGACTCTATGGACATGAGTTTAAGTAAGCTCCAGGAGTTGGTGTTGGACAGGGAAGCCTGGCGTGCTGCAGTCCTATTGGTCGCAAAGAGTCAGACACACCTGAGTGAGTGAACTGAACTGAACTGAGCACACACTTACACATCAAGGAATATTCAGATTCATGTCTGCAGAATCATTCAATAATGTATTTGAAGTCTACCATGTGTAAACACACTATTTTTTTCTTCTAGATTGTCTAGGCTGTTAAAACCCAAGTTAGAAAGGTCCCAAAAGTTGCTAATGGTAATCCAAATCTTGCCCCAGGTGCAACAACCTTGCAGGCAAATTCTCCAGTATAATCAGCAAATGTTACAAAGGGACCACATCTGGTTCCTTTGTATTTATTTCATCAGACAGACCAAAATTTGAATAGGAAATAGAAACCAAACCTCCAACTCCATCTCAGAAGGTCCCCTAATTTCTGACCAAAGGATATTCATTAGAAGCTGCAGAAATGTCACTACTGCTTACTTCAGCCTTCTCTTAGACTGGTATATTCATCTCTGCTTTGAAGTTATTCCCCCCCCCAAAAAAAATAATAACCAACTTTAACTTTTGAATGGAATTTTTTTTTTTTCTTTTACAGTTTGTTTTGTGGGACTAGGGACTCTTACAAGCAGTTCTATGGAAGTTCTAAAGTTTATTCAATCGCTTCTTTGGGAACTCCATCTTCATGCAGGGTGGTCGGAGGGAGGGGGGCAGTCTGTCCATCATGGCCCCTCCTCCACCAGGCAGTGAGCACAGTTCCCAGAAGGCTGGAGAGCCCCAGGCCCTGGACTGACCAAAGTAACTGCTTCAAGAATAAGTGAGCAGCTAAGGCTGGTTCTCCAGGACTATTCTTAGAGAGCAGAGGTCGAACACTGATGACTCCAAAATGTATTTCATTAGGCCTACATGGCATTTTTAAAAAGCAGAAAGTTTTATATGAAAAATCCAGATATCAGGCTTTTCTTGAAAATTGGAGGATCTGGCGACCCTGGGCTATATCCCTGAAGTAGCCACAGCTGTTGTTGGAATCTGTTTGTCACCGTGCCTGGCACCCTTGTCACTTGGTTATATCTCCTGTCTAGACCAGTTCCTTCTCTATAGAGCTACCGGGAGAAACTGCCCTGGCCTGGAGACCCTGGGTAAGAAAGCTGTCCAGTGAGAGCTTCTCCAAGCAGGGAGGAAGCCTGTGCCCGGGAGGGGAGGATGGGAGAAATTCAGAGGCTAATAGATCCAAGAAGCGGAAAGAATGGACACTGGAGGTAAGACTGAGCAGTGCTCAGGTACTCAGCCGTTTACACCCTCATGGCCCCATCTGTGCCATGGGCCTGCCACTTTCCAGCTGTGGATCTTGCTTCTCAACCTGTCCCTCAGAAAATGAGATGAGGAGAGAGCCTGGGTCATTGTGTGGGTGGAGGTTAGAGGCCTGGGCGTGTGCATCCCGTGTTCAGGGCTCAATACATGTTCACTTTCATTCATCTCACTGGAGTGCCTGAGCTAATCTGGACTTCCAGCTGCAGAAGCCTAGAAATTTCCTTTGCTGCTTTGGCCAGGGTGGGGCCTTCTTTCACTCACAAGTGTAGTAGCCATTACCACAGCCAGAACTCTTTATTCCCAAATAATGTTGTTTTCAGGCTTCACAGGTAGAGGGAAACTTGTAATCACTCCTTTGCAAAGACCCCAAAAGTCTCTGGCTTCACAGATGGGGTTCATAAAGTAAGCATGAAAACCCCGAAGTCTCTGTCCCACCTTTTCTCAAGAGGGCCTGATAGATTACCCATGTGACTTAAACTTGGAGTAAATTACAAAAGCAACATGCAAATAATCTATGTTGTTTGCTTACAAGTAACCTGTGAAATGAGTTGCTGGGACAAAACACCTCCGAAGAATGCCACTACGCCAGCCACCAGGACTGTGTGCATCACCCGGAGGCAAACCCATGTTTTGTTTCAGGCAGCACTGATTCTGTGAATCAGGGGACCCAATCTCAGGGCACAGGCTGCTGAGAAGCCCTGATGGCCTTCGGGGGTTTCTTCTATTGGGGGGGTTGTATAGGTTTGCGAGTGAGTATGTGTGTCTGTGAGTTTGTCCCTCCTCTCCATTGCAGAGCTGAGAGCTAAAGCACACGGTGGGTACATTTGCAGCTTCTCAAAGGAAGTAAAGAGCCCGTAAAAGGAACCAGTGCTTTTTCTGGAGCTGTTTACAGAGAAGTAACCCGTGTCATTTTCTCTCACAGGGAGGTCCTTCCCTTGATTGCTAATCGTCTGTGTACTTTAGCCATGTGTGGTGTAAGCCGTGGTCGAAGCCCTGAGAAGCAAGCTCCCTCCACCCTGCAGTTTTCTTTTAACTCCACAGAGCACAACAGCCTGGGCCACCCAGGGAGCAGCCACGCAGAGCTCTGTGCAAGCAGGCGGCCTCCCTGCATTCCCCCCCACCCCTTGCCCACCCGCCCCTGGCTCCCCACCAGGATGGCCAGGAGCCCTCCTGACCTCCTGCTCAGGGCACCTTCTCGAGCCTTCTATCCCTCGTCAGCAGCATAGCCTCTCTGCGAGCCATGGAGCAAGCAGCCCTCTCCTAAAGGGCCCAGCAGGAGTCCAGAAAGGAAGTGGGCAGAGGAGGTTTCACCCAAGAGCGTGGCTGCCAGCCTCACTGCCTCCACAGGGCGCAGATGGAGGGCAGCGCTGGCACCTCCAGGAAGGTCTCTTTTGGAGCTTCACATGTGACCCTTGATGGCTCAGACTACCTGGGGGAGCTCAAAGACATCACTTGGGGTGACTGGGAGCCAGTGTGTCTGGCTGAAGCCAAGGGGCCGTGGGAGGAAGGAAGGGGAGGTCAGGGCCAAAGCACAGCTTGTCTTGTTTTAAGGACGAAGAGCAAAGAATTGACGGGCGTCTCACAGAGATCACACAGGCTCAGGAGGGAGCCTGGCCAGGGAAGAGAGAGTGGAAGGAAGGAGGGGGACCAGCCCAGGGCTCCCATGGTCCAGAGTAAGAGGAGAGCATGGAAGACAGGGTCAGTCCTGACACGTGCCAGGAGCCAGCTAGGCCCTGCCCTCTTGGGATTTATGTTCTAGAGGGGCTTCTAGACAACCAGTCTATACATAATACAATAAAATGCCAAGTTGTGATGAATTCAGTGAATAGCACTAAGCAGAATGAAGGGAAAGGAGAAGGTAAATGAGAAATACTGCTAAGAAGAGAGCAAAATGACTGACCCACATTAGAAAGTGACCATGCTGACCTCCTGCCCCTGCCTTCTGCTTCCTAATCAGTGTGGGCTAGTGCCACCCAGAGTGGCCTGGTGACAGGCCTGTGAACACACAGATCCTGGGCCCCAGACTCACTGAGTCAGCCATCCAGGGGTGGAGCCCAGCAACACAGTCACTCAACAAATATCCCAGTTGAGTCTTATCAGATAGGTTCAGGAAATAGATGCAGAAGACTGTGGTTTGTGGAATCAGATAAAAACTAGAGCTTTAGTGCTGTTCCTACCACTTTTCTTATGACCTTGGGCCCTCTGCTTAATCCTCCTCATCTACCTCATCTGTAAAATGGGAATCATAGCAGGGCTAGTGTCACAGGGTTGCTATGAAGATTAATGATAAAATGCATATCAACCCCTTTGCCGGGTTCCAGGTTCATAGTGTGGGTGATAAAATCAGAAGGAGGGACTCTACAGTATGATTTGTATACCTGATTATACTTTATCAAGTCAATGAATCTGTATTTAACTCTACTGTTTATGTTTTATATCTTAGAACCCAACGTCCTTTCTCTCGCTCCTCAAGTTAAATCAAGTTCCAGTGATCACATCTCATGACCATGTGTCCCATCCCCACAGCCAACACTCTGGCCCAGCATCACCACCCCACTGCAACAGTTTCCTGCTAAGGCCTCCCATATACCACCTCCAAACCACCCAGCTCCAAGCCCCAGCCCTGCTATTGTTTTAGTTGGATTGGGTCACTCTCTCCCTGAGTATAACAGCTTTTCTTTACTTTTCAAACAAAATTCAACATCATTTCCATAGCTCACCCAGGCTTCCCCTAATTAGGCTCCAGTTTCATGCTCTGGCCTCACTATGGAAACTCTAACCCTAGAGTCCTCAACTGCAACTTAAATTTATGACTTCTTCAGGAAGTCTTCAGTCCCCTACTGATATGCTTCCACAGCAACCTTTTGTAAAACTCATCAGACTCGCGATTAGTGGTTTAATATCTATCTTCCCTGTGAAGATAGTAAGCATCATGAGAGCAAGGGTAGGGCTAGTCTTCCTGGAGACATGGGTTGTATTAGGATTAAGAGTACCAATACATGCAATAACTCCCTAGGTCTGAATCTCAGCTCCACCAGTTAATAGATACATGACCTCATACAAATTATTTGGACTTTCTGAGTGTCAGCCTCCAAGTCTACAAAATCTTTCTCATGGGATTATTTTACAGTTAAATTAGATAACAAGGGAGAACTACATAGAGCATGCCTGATAGAAGACATTTACAGAATTCTAACTGCTATTATATTTATTCATTGATCAGTATCTAGACATTAGGTATGAAATAAACACTTATTGAATGAAGAATACTCTTTACCCTGTTTAGTATTGTGGCTTACATATGCCCAACAGCTAGCACTTAGTGATGCTTCCCTTCCATACCCAGGCAGAGAGTCCTGAGTAGATCAGTTCAGTTCAGTTGCTCAGTTGTGTCCAACTCTTTGTGACCCTATAGACTGCAGCATGCCAGGCTTCCCTGTCCATCACCATCTCCCAGAGCTTGCTCAAACTCATGTCCATCAAGTCAGTGATGTCATCCAACCATTTCATCCTCTGTCGTCCCCTTCTCCTCCTGCCTTCAATTTTTCCCAGTATCAGGGTCTTTTCCAATGAGTCAGTTCTTCACATCAGGTGGCCAAAGTTTTGGAGCTTCAGCTTCAGCATTAGTCCTTCCAATGAATATTCAGGACTGGTTTCCTTTAGGATGGACTGCTTAGATCTCCTTGCAGTCCAAGGGACTCTCAAGAGTCTTCTCCAACACCACAATTCAAAAGCATCAATTCTTCAGTGCTCAGGTTTCTTTATAGTCCAACTCTCACATCCATATATGACTACTGGAAAAACCATAGCTTTGACTAAATGGACCTTTGTTGGCTAAGTAATACCTCTGCTTTTTAATATGCTATCTAGGTTTGTCACACCTTTTTTTCCAAGAAGTAAGTGTCTTAATTTCATGGCTGTAGTCACCATCTGCAGTGATTTTGGAGCCCAAGAAAATAAAGCTTGTCACTATTTCCACTGTTTCCCCATCTATTTGCCTGAATAGATAACGCTTGTGTATTCTATGCAGAATTAAGAATAGATTTCCTTGAGGATAGCTTGGAAAAGAGCTCTGATTTCTGGAATAGAATGTGTGTCATCAGTTAGAATTTTCTTGATAACAGGTGATTTTGGAGTAACATTTTCAGAAGGCTTTAGAAACATTTTGACTTTCAAGTTCTAAAATACAATTAAAATAATGGAACTACATTGTGTGTTGGAGAACACTCTTGAGAGTCCCTTGGACTGCAAGGAGATCCTAAAGGAAATCCTAAAGGAAATCAGACCTGAATATTCATTGGAAGGACTGATGCTGAAGCTGAAACTCCAAAACTTTGGCCACCTGATGTGAAGAACTGACATTCGAAAAGACCCTGATCCTGGGAGGGACTGGGGGCAGGAGAAGGGGATGACAGAGGATGAGATGGTTGGATGGCATCACCGATTCAATGGACATGAGTTTGAGCAAGCTCCGGGAGTTGCTGATGGACAGGGAAGCCTGGCATGCTGCAGTCCATGAGGTCGAAAAGAGTTGGATGCGACTGAGCGACTGAACTGAACTGAATCTAATTCCTTCCTTTTCCTTAGAGAATGCTGACTGCTGGTTGAGATCTTGGTTTTAGTGTGTAGATGCAAGCTACACAATACCGTGAGTTGGGCTCAATCAACGTCTTTAAATGATTGAAAACATCCATGCTCTATGTCATAAGGGGTTGCCTACCTTTGCTGACACTATCTTAAGGCAGTCTTTAAAACTCTCACACATCTAATAGAAAAAATATGAGAGGAATCTAGTAGGTAAGCTCTGCAGAGCTCTCAACCACAATTTGGTGCATTTGATGTGGGATTTGGAAACGGTCTGAACTGCACCTTCTTCTGACCACACCTCAGCAGGCAGTTCTTTCTAATCATTAAGGTTTGTGGTGCTATAGAGAGAGTTACCTACATTGTTAATTACCAGGATTCTGTTTGAATGACCCTTCCTCCAAAGACATGCGGACAGAAGTGATAACAGACGTGCCCCAGCCACACGTTCAAAAAGCACCAAGTTGCATCAATAGATTTGGGGATGGAGTGAGCCTATATCCTTCACCTTTGGGGGTCATGTTGCCTAGGGAGAACAGGGAGGAATATGGGTAGATGGTGGCTGGAATTCCCATGTGCAACTGAGGTTTTTTTTTATTTTAAAAGTAGGTTATAGTCATGTACAAATCACTTGTCTTCGGAAGAGACCAAAATGTTGTAGGTCACCACCCTGGTACTTACCTGTTCATGTTTGTCCCCACACTGAGGCCATCTCAATATCTTTGCTCAAAATGAGCCACTCCTATCGGATGAAACCCTATCCCAGGGTAATTTAAGCCAGAGCCTCTCAATCTTGACTAACTGTAGGAACTCTTGGGGAATCACATTAAACTATGGATTATGCACTTTGGTGTACACCTGAAACACTAGTATTTACTGTAAATCAGCTATAGTTCAATTTACCAAAATGTACATTGTGACTCAGGAGGTCTCCTGTGGGGCCTGAGACTCGGCATTTCAAGCAAACTTCCCAGTGATATTGATACTGTCAGTCTATGAGCAACACATGGGTTTTGGGTTACCAACCAGGGTTAGCCAGCTGGCTGCCTATGGGGTGGGGTTGTGGGGACCCCAGGAAGCAACAAAATCCTCAAAATGGTACTCATTTTATTTATAAGACATATTCCCATTTCCTATTTCTGGGTCTCCACACCAGTTTATTCACACTCTGGGGTCAGTCACCTTCACCTCAACTGGGACTGGTAAAAATATGTTTCTGTTGTGCTCGGAATTAATTCGGTCTGCCTGCCTCTATTGTCCACCTCAGGAGATGGAAACAACGCTTCCTACTTTATTAACTTCCCACAGTCTTCCCAGACTGTTGGTTGTTGATTTTAACAGAGAAAATAAGCAAATAACTAGGAGAAAGGGAGCTGGTTTACATGGGTGGCTCTGCCTTTCTGCTAACTTTAAAACTGTGATGGAATTTCTGCTTTAGCTCAAAATATCTGCCAATCTTATTCTCCTATGTCAGCATTTTAAATGGACCCTTGGCCACAAAACCCCCACATTTGGTTCTGACAGAGTCTGATAGTCTTTTAATGTATAGAATTGTAGGCCAAGATGTTTGTGTTTATGTCCCTAGCCCAGCATAAATAAATAGCTGCATGGTATTGAAATCACCTGTCAAAATATCCACTGCAGTTCTGGGGCACAAAAAGAAGTCTCTCAGTGTGATTGGCTTCCTTGCTGGAAGAATTCAAAAGCTGTTTATCTCATTTAGTAAAAGAAAAAAAAAAAAAGACCTGTAATTACTGCATTTTGACCCCAAGGCAGGCAATTACTTCACAAAAGCTCTCCCCAGGAAACCAGACATTAGCCTGGCTAATTAGGCTGACCTCACTCACAAACCCTCTCCTTGAGATCCGAGCTTGGACACCGGAGGCTGCTTCTGGGCGAGGGTCCTGCCAGTCACTGGGGACGTGGCGGCACT